ACTGTTTCAGAAGGTGAAATTAAAGGTGACATCTACTACATCGGCTTTTACGAGTCGGACAAAAACTGGACCAACACTTCCAATGAGGTAGGACTACACACTTTTTGTTTATGAAGTATTTAGTTTACTAAAAATCTAAAATATGTAGTATTTTGTTGACTAAAATATCTTAGAACGGCAAATGGTACATACTTTACTTTTATTGAAAGCTGGTCCAAGCCAACTCCTGGAAACATATCACTAACATATCATAATCAGGCATTACATTTTATAATAATTTCTTTGTTTTTCATCATGTCTCATCTTGTTGTGCAGCTCATGCTACTAGAAGTTGATTCTTGTAATTTCAAGACAAGCAGTGTTCTCACCAGGATTTTTTCATAGCATAGGGGTCAGGTACAGAAGAGCAACTTTTACGACACAAGTTGCACATTGAGCTGAAATATTTTGAAACTCATGACCCGCTGAGACACTATTTCTTGTTTAATTGGGAACAGACTTTGTGAAGTTAAAAATTCTAAAGTTACATGTATATCTTAATTTTTTTGCAAGATTTATGAAGGTTCCTCCTTCCAAAACATTAGACAGCATAGGGGTCAAAATCACAGTACAGGGGGCCCCTATGCTCAAAAGGCCTGGCAAGAACACTTGTGATTTGGGGCTTATAATCAGTGTCTTTATTTTGCCCTGGGCTTCCTTCACTTACTAGTACTGTTATAATTGATGTAATTGTGTTTCATCATATTTTCTGGCTGCAAGGTTTAAATTTTCTGCAGTGTTCTAGCCAGGCCTTTTTAGCTATAATTTTGACCCCTATGCTAAGTTTCAATCAGCATAGGGGTGCTTTGGGAGGGAGAACCGTCATAAATCTTGCAAAAAATTAAAATACTGTATAACTTTAGAATGAAGCTATAGCAGAGGGAAAACCAGGTAACTTCACAAAGTCTGTTCCACATCAAACAATAAATTATAGTGTTTCAGGGGGTTATTAGTTTCAAAATTCTTCGGCTCAATTAAAGATTTGCGCCACGAAAGTTGTTGTTCTGTACCTGACCCCTATGCTATGAAGAAATCCTGTTGAGAACCCTGTTCTGACACAGGGAAGTAGAAAATAGTCAAGTCCTCTCATCTTGTTGGAATCTTATGATAACTGTGTGTGTTTGTCCCTGCAGGCTGCCGGCAGCCATCGCCTGCAGCGTTATCACAGTCAGAAGTACGTTAACGGGACGACCTGTGACCTCACAGGGCACTACCGGCAGGCGGAGGTCAGGGTAAGTCAGGGGGTGGGGAGGAGTCATGCTGTGTCTTCATAATTCATTCTGATAATCTGAATATTTTTCTTTCATTAAAAATTGGAATATCTTTTCTCAGTCTTCATGATTTCGTAGCTTGCGTAGTCCAGTGGTTAGTGATCCTGGTTCTGTACTAAGAGGTTGGGAGTTCGAATCCCGGCTATTGTCGCTAACCCAACATGCACGCTTAACTGTTTAGGATCGCAGTCCTTAGGACGGGACGTTAAGCCATGGTCCACTGTTCATTGTGCTTGGTGAAAAAGAGCTACATGTGTAGGGGAACAATGAACCTGTACTTTGTAAATGCAGTACATAGCGTCTGTCTTCTCTGTCACAGCCAGTGGAAGATTACAGTAGCTCTTCAATAAGCTAAACTGGCTCGAGATCACTTTCACTTAGTAATTTAAAAAATATATATATTTATTCTAGTTCTTGTGTGAGGAGGGGATGGGAGATTACATTAATCGCGTGGACGAGCCGTCGTCGTGTAACTACATCATCACGGTCCACACGACAAAAATCTGCCACCACCCCTACCTGAAACCCCTGCAGAGCCACAAGCCTCAGCCAATCATGTGCAACCCTGTCCTGCCTCACGAGCAGTTTCTGGAGTACCTCAGAATACAGGAAGGTAAGGGACCAATCACAGGCCTGTCCTGTCTGTTATCTATTATTCCTAGTAGCCAGTCATGTGCAACCCTGTTCTGCCACATGAGCAGTTTCTAGAGTACCTCAGAATACAGGAAGGTAAGGGACCAATCACAGATAGGTCTGTCCTGTCATTTATGTTCTAGCCAATCGTGTGCATCCCTGTCCTGCCTCATGAGCAGTTTCTGGAGTACCTCAGAATACAGGAAGGTAAGGAACCAATCACATTCAGGGTTGTCCTGCCATTTAAGTCCTAACCAATCATGTGCAACCCTCTCCTGCCAGATGAGCAGTTTCTGGAGTACCTCAGAATACAGGAAGGTAAGGGACCAATCACAGGCAGGGCTCTCCTGTCCTGTCATTTAAGTCCTAGCCAATCATGTGCAACCCTGTCCTGCCACATGAGCAGTTTCTGGAGTACCTCAGAATACAGGAAGGTAAGGGACCAATCACAGGCAGGGCTCTCCTGTCTGTCATTTAAGTCCTAGCCAATCATGTGCAACCCTGTCCTGCCTCATGAGCAGTTTCTGGAGTACCTGAGAATACAGGAAGGTAAGGGACCAATCACAGGCAGGGCTGTCCTGTCTGTCATTTAAGTCCTAGCCAATCATGTGCAACCCTGTCCTGCCACATGAGCAGTTTCTGGAGTACCTCAGAATACAGGAAGGTAAAGGACCAATCACAGGCCTGTCCTGTCTGTTATCTATTAGTCCTAGCCAATCATGTGCAACCCTCTCCTGCCACATGAGCAGTTTCTTGAGTACCTCAGAATACAGGAAGGTAAGGGACCAATCACAGGCAGGTCTGTCCTGTCTGTTATTTAAGTCCTAGCCAATCATGTGCAACCCTGTCCTGCCACATGAGCAGTTTCTGGAGTACCTCAGAATACAGGAAGGTAAGGGACCAATCACAAGCAGGGATTTCCTGCCATTTAAGTCCTAGCCAATCATGTACAACCCTGTCCTGCCACACGAGCAGTTTCTGGAGTACCTCAGAATACCGGAAGGTAAGGGACCAATCACAGGCCTGTCCTGTCTGTTATCTAAGTCCTAGCCAATCATGTGCAACCCTGTCTTGCCTCATGAGCAGTTTCTGGAGTACCTCAGAATACAGGAAGGTAAGGGACCAATCACAGGCCTGTCCTGTCTGTTATCTAAGTCCTAGCCAATCATATGCAACCCTGTCTTGCCTCATGAGCAGTTTCTTGAGTACCTTAGAATACAGGAAGGCAAGGGACCAATCACAGGCCTGTCCTGTCTGTCCTAGCCAATCATGTGCAACCCCGTCTTGCCTCATGAGCAGTTTCTGGAGTACCTCAGAATACAGGAAGGTAAGGGACCAATCACAGGCAGGGCTGTCCTGTCTGTCATTTACCTAGCCAGTCATGTGTAAGACTGTTCAACGTACTAGGATACAAACAGGTATGCCACCAAGCATATCAGATTCTTCTTTTACAACAAATGTCATAGTTACTGTAGTATTTCATTTAATTTTGTTATTTTTTTCAGAAATATTTATTGTCAGTTCTATATTTTCCTAAAGAAATTAATTTGCAACTGTGTTCTGTTACTTGAAGTTTTAACATCTTTATTTCTCTGTGTTTTTTTTTTCAGAAAGTGAACTCAGACAGAAAGCTAAAATTGCTGAACTAAAAAGGAAACTCCAGGAGAAGAAGGCAACACTGGAGAAGGAAAAGGAAAGGGAGGAGCAAAAACTGAAAGAAAACCTCGCCAAGATTGGAACAGACAGAAGAAAAGAGCTGGAAACGGAGAACATAGATGACCCAGCAACGAACAGTGTAGATACAGAGCTGGAAATATCCAGAACTCCAGGAACCAATGAGATTCCAGATAGCATGGATTCCATGGAGACGGAGGATGCTGTTGTCATGGAGACGGGAAGTATGGATGAGATGCAGAAGGGTGAAGGTCTGGGGCGTGGCAGTGTGAACGTTGCCGTGGCAACAAGGGAGGATGAAGAAGATGATGATGATGATGAGGTATATATTGTCCAATCTTCAATAGAGCTGAATCATGTAAAAGAGAAGTAACATTTGCAAAGCAAATGCATAATTTTTACCTTCGGACATGGTCTGCCCTGTTAATTTTTACTCAAACACATTCACATACATGTACTACAAGTATATGGTGTCAGGCAAGAGTAGAGTAGACCATGAAATTGCAACATTATGTAACCCAACACCAGTCACCATGGTGACAGACGTCAACAAATCATGTCATTGGCCAGGTCAGACTCAGAGGTTAGTGTTTGGAACAGAAGAGGAAGAAACTAAGTAAAAACAATGTATTTTCCTTCGGTAAACATAAAAAGAATGATTTCAATTGTACTAATTTTTGGAAATTTTATATTCACAAAGCTGCTGCATAACTTCAAGTCAAATTTTGTTTATTTAAGTTATAAAAAAATTGCTCTCTATATATGGATGTTTCAGGATGAGGAGATGGACACTGAAAAGGAAGAAGAGGAAGATGAAAAAGAAGACAGTGACCTGATGGAGTCTTTAGAGTTGAAGGAACTGAACAAAGCCCTGAGAAAACTGCAGAAGACCCTGGTGGAGGCCCTGGAGAAGGGAGTGAAGGAGGCTGAGGAGGCTGGGGCAGACATCAACATGGAAGGTTAGTAATAATAATAACTACTAGTAGATGTAATAACAACGGCAGATGGAACAGGCCATTCTTTAGATCGAACGTGGAACGGGTATAGCACTTTTGGCCCTTTTTTGGCCTGAAATAGCCATTCAAGTCCCCTACTAGTAAATGAGTCATTTGGAAGAGGTGTATGCCAAATATGTGACTGCTATTCTGTAGACACACGTTCAAGGTAGTACTCTTATACCGAATTTCAGATCATTTAAATTAATACCAGTACCAGTAATACCAGGGCTCAGGATCCAAAAATCCATTTTTTGTCAAAAAATACCCCAAAAAACCTTCATAAAAATTTTTCAAAGGCATATATCAAAAAAATGAAGAAAAAAAAAAACGTATGGGGGTATTTGCCCACTCTACCTCCATGCCAAATTTCAGGTCATTTCACGCTGAATGATGGCGGAGTTGAATCCCTCTGACCGATTGGCAGGAGGAGAAGGAGGAGGAGAAACATGAGAGAACACAAAATATATATTTCATCCATACCATGTGGTATGAACTGAAATATAATAAATGGTTTATTGGCCAAACATCGCCCATGCAATATAGTGCATTATAGTGCTGAATTGATGCAGGGTTTACAATCAGAAGGATACAAAGGGTAATAATACAGTCTCATAATAATACACAGTGTCATGATACATGCATGCAATGTATTTTTTTTTTTTGGTGGAACTGCCGCAAGGGTCTGTGCGGCTGCCATTCGGCGCCACAAGGTGACCTCAATACGACTTTCCCCAACCGAAGTTAGGTACCCATTCACACCTGGGTGGAGTGAGGAAAAGTGCCTTTCCCAAGGGCACATTTTGCAAATACATTATGATCAACAACACGACAATCTAAACAGATGAACAAAGTCATCTTTCATAACAATATCTTTCATTTGCTACATATTATTTATTTGATAAGGTATCTTAGTAGGTGCAAACCAGTCACAATCACAGTCACAAACAAGTCACAATACAAACAGATACTCGCAAACGATTAAACACAACAACCACCTAATATCTGCTTTCAAAACCTCGCCTACCACACAGCTTAAGTAGTACATTTGTACGCCCTATTCCACAGTATTTCTGAAATATGAATTTACCTCAATACAAAAACTGCCACGGTGAAAAGAAAACAATGTGCATCATCACGGACATGATTAATTTGATTTGATATTGAAATTGCAACAGTGCAATACACGCGGAACAGATCTAGAGGCAGCCGTTGCTGGTGTTGTGTTCTGCACATAGAAACGTATACAGGACACTCAGACAATACTCATTTTCACTTGAGTCTAGTGGAGAAAGTCGTTTTTAGTGCCTTTCCCAAGGGCACAAGATCGGTGGCATGGCAGGACTCGAACCCGGGAACTCTTGATTCCGAGTTGCGCACGCTGCCGTTGCCATGATGGCACACCACATGCCCAATTACAAAGAAATACAACGGACACAACCATATTTTTTTAGCTGCGAACACATTTAAAATCAGCCCCGATACATAAACAACGGGAGACGCACGGCTGATTCTAATCACCGACCCATCCCAACGTCTGCCTGAAGGAAACCGGTCCGCCCCATGATTCAAAACAATATTCATAAATGTAGGGGTGCATCTGAAATATTACATTGACCACGACAACAGCTACGGTAAAAAATTAACACGTTTATCATCACAGGCATGCCTGCAGACGTGTAAAATTTCATGCCGATTAAACTAGGGAAACCCTGTGTTTTGGCTGCGAACGCAAAAACCGACTGACCACAATACTCCTGCAGGAGGGATACCTTCTTTACGGAGTAATTCAGTCTGCTTGTTTTGCTCACGTGGCTCAGTCATCAGATTTGCCTTGTCGGTGCACACACCAATTCTTCCGCGACAGGGGTCCGAGGTAGTGCTCGGAAAAAAAGTGACGAAGGGGTTCCGGTGGTTCATGTTTGAGTTTACATTTCTCATAATATTTACTGCAAATTGGTATTAACTACAAACATGACTGGAAAGTGTAAGAAGTGTTTTGGGTGAAAATTGATTTCGGGCCCGAGGCTTACTTCCGGGTGTCCTTCCGCCTTGAGTGCGGTGCTTCGGTTTGACCTAGATATGCATAATCTCAGTGTTAGGATTTTCTTTATACTTTTCTTAATAACACAATTAAAGGGTTTTCTCTTTCCGACCATATAAGACTAATATTGGTGGATAAATTCTGGGCGATGGGTCTAATTCCACGTGAAAATGACCAATTTTTGGCATAATTTTTCATTGAATAATTCTAGATCTTTTTCCCCCTAAAATTTACTAACATGTGAGAGGGGAAAGAAATTGAAATTCTATTGTTCTCGTAGCTAGAGGGATATCCTTATATAGATTTGCAAACAGACTGTTTTGGCTTAAGAGGTATTTCCTGAAACAGAGGGTCGCTAAGTTGAGGGTAATGCAGAATCGATTTTGAGACCCAAAATTAACTGGGGTGTGCCCCCTTGTGGTAGAACTGGGTCTTATTCATTGATTTCCTGCGGATGTTGGGCCACTTGTCGTCTCCGTTGGCGTCTCTTGCCACAGTACAGCAACATGCCACACATACCGACTAAACCCACGGCAAGGCCCGCGCAAACTAGGGCGATGTTGAGCGGCTTGGTTTTGTTCCATGCACCTCCTGCATTAGAACAGGAGATTTGTACAATCATGTACTTTTAACAATTGTTGGATATGGAAAATAGGCTACAAACCACGATTGAACTTTTTATAAATATATTATATATAAGGCCACACCAATTTAATTTCTTGGTTAATGGATTTTTCTAGAAAAATAATGGAGCGGGCGGGCGAAAAAAAATAAAAAAATAAAAACTGGCCTAGGCATCCTATTATGGCCCAAAATGGTACGATAGGAGCCATGAAGTCAACACACCAGGCTGGTTCAAAATTTGAACAGTGAATTATGAACTTTTAATGAAACCAAATTGAAAGATGGAATAACTGTTACAGTAACAACTAGGATGAAAGGACTGTTTTCAACTACTGTTCAGGGCAAAATATGAGCATTTTGTAGTTGATTCAATTTTTATTTTATTTGCAAATCAGAAAAAAATGAAGTGGGCGAATCCATTAACCAAGAAATTAAATTGGTGTGGCCTAAAGAGTGTATGAGAACAGGTACTGTACAACTTTAACAGCAAATGAAGCAATCAAATGATGAAGATAGTGTCCCGTACCTGCAAGTTTTGTTGTCTGGTTAGTGGGGCTCTGAGAAACAGTTGTTCCTGGAAGAGTTGTCCGGTGTGCCGACTGGTAACTGGGGTGTTGAGAAATAGCTGTTCCCGGAAGAGTTGACCTCTGTGTTGTTTGGTTGGTAGTGATGTGCTGAGCAACAGTTGTTCCCGGAAGAGTTGACCGTTGTGTCAGCCGCGGAGAGGAAGTCACCTATAACGGTGGAAGCGAACGCACATTTAAAGACTAGAGTTCCCCGATCTCATACCTTCGCCAAATGATGTTAATCTTTATGACTGACAAATTATAGATTAGATTATTCCCCCCTGATTTAAGAAATAGGAACCTAATTTTCATGAATTATTTATATCATTTTATAATAATCTCAACCAAAAAACAGTCTTATATTAACAAACAATGCATTCTAGCATTTACTAATAAATTATGCAAATGAGGTCTTGATTTGAATAAATTATGTTTAATGATGTTCACCTCAATTTAACTTTCAAATACCACAAGTATGAAATTCCAGACAGTTATCATTACATAATTATAAAAAATTTTCATTAATTATGCAAATTAAGTCATTATTAACATAATCAATATCTTCCTGTGTTTCTCTCGTTGTCAATTACCAATGTCACAAGCTTTAATTGTGCTATTATTGAATGCAGCTGATTTATAGAATTTCGCCATAAATTATGCAAATTACATCAATATTTGCATAATTGTCACATAATTATATTAAGCATCACGTAAGCTACCTACATACCAAAAATCACGACGATCCGTCAACCGGTTCTTGAGTTATCCCCTTTTGAATATTTTCAAGAATTTATCCCTGCAGTTCCAGAGCAAGCCGCTAGGGGGCCTAAACTCACGTCACTTCTTCCCCAGCACAAGAGCTACCTACCATCTAAATTTCATTGCCATAGCATGTCTAGATCATGAGATATCAAAACCGGAAGTTCAGCTGCAGTACCAGAACAAGCCGCTAGGGGGTCCAAAATCTAATCATTTTGAGGTCTCATCAAGACCTACCCACCTACCAAGTATCAAGACAATCCATCAAGGCCTTCTTAAGTTATCGTGTTGACAGACAGACAGACAGACAGACACACACACACACACACACACACACATACACGAAAGCCCCTGAAAACATAACCTTCTTGGCGAAGGTAAAAATATCAAAGTATGGAGTAACAAGTACAACCACATGTGTCTCGACACATGGTGGTAATGTACATGGTGTAAATAGGGACCTCTGACCTCTCCACTGTATTTTAAGTAATACTATGTAATTTAAGCTAGCTTTAATTGTTGTGTATATTAGCAAGTAGGCCTACGTGTAGATTGTTGTTAAGATTGTTATTGTTATACTGCTGATGTTGTTGTATAAATGCTACTATTAAGTTTGTAATTGATTATATTTCATCTTTTAAATGTAAAGGACTCCAGGAAGACTAGTAAACAAACATTGTATTACTAAATGGAGATTCCTAATAAACATAAACATAAACTGTGTGGATGTGGCCTGTGTAGTACTGACTCAACAGTTGTGCTGGTTGGAGATGTTTCCAGTCTTGGTGTTGTCGGTATCTCAGTAGTTGGCTGAGATAAAGCTAGAATTAGAAAAAAACAACGTGTCATCCAAACATCTACTGTCAGTGGTAAATACATTTATCTGCCACAGAAATGTTTTGCATAGATATTGTGGCGTCTGTGTGGTGTAGTGGATAGAGCGTCTGACTGTCAAGCAAGAAGACCCAGGT